GAAAGGACAGGACAGTGTTGGAAGCCTTGGCCCTGGGCTGGTCATGCAGGAACGGCTGGACTGGTCTGAGAGAGCTCAGTCGCCCCAGATCCACCCAGGAAGAGCCTCCTCCCAAGAGCTGGTGCCTGGGTGTGCCTGTTTACACCCCGTGCTCCCAGCCCAGGGCACGGCCTAAGGGGGTTCCTGCTCCCCTCCCCAGGCCAGCCCCCAAGAACCAGAGCCTTCACCTGAGGGAGCCCTTTATTTTATAGGGCAGGGACTTGGGCAGCAGCCCTACTCTGCACACAGCAGATGGGCTGCCACAGGTGGAAGTCGAGGCAGGGTCTCTGGTGGCAGGGACTCAGGCTGCTGCTCTGTTCACCAGGAGACTCCTGACAAGGCCACACGTTTTGCTGTACTTCAGGTTTCATCGAAGTCTACGCCACCAGCTGGCTTCTTACTGAGAGAGAAGAGGGGGTGATCCAATGGGGGTGTGGAGGAGCGGGCAGGGATCCAGGTTAGGAGGGACGGTGGGCAGGTACCTTTTGAAGCCAGGGTTGATGAGGGATTCCCCTGGACACCGTTTCCTGACCCCAGGTCCAGGGCCACCTCTCTGGGGATCGGGGTCTGGAGAAAAACAGGAAGCAGGGCTTCTGAACCCAGCAGCACTCCCTGCCATGGCCCTATCTGCACAGACAGATCTTCTTCCAAGCGTGAGGCCTGTTTTGGGAGGAGATAGTTCCAAAGGAAAGAGAACACCCAACCTACCTCCCAGGTCCTCACCTTACCTGGTAAGAAGAGTTGAGATCCCGCTGGCTGGGGACTCTTCCTGGGGCTGGCAGCTGTCTTTTCCACAGCTGGAGAGAAAGCCCGTGGGCACCCTACTCAGTGCAAGAAGGCGGAGCCTGACAGGGACCCCAGAGAGGGTACAGGTGCCCACCCTACCTGCCAGTTGCTGCTCCAGGCTGCACACGCGCTCTGCCAGGCCCAGGGTCAGTGCCTGCAACCTGGGGGCTGCCTCTATACCCGGCACCTTGGAGAGGTCGAAGACCAGTGTTGATGGCCCCCCTGAAAGTGTCAGGGATGCTCTATCCTCCTGAAAGCTCAGAGTCACCCCTTGATGATGGCAGGCTGCTCTGGGAGAGGAGAGGCGGGAGACGCTGTGGCCAGTCCCTCACCCCTGTTCCACCCCGAACCCTCCTCCCTGCCTGTGGCTCACCTGAACCGGGAGGCGATGTCCTCAGTTTCACTAAGACCAAAACGGGCTTTCTGCAGGACACAGGGACTTGTCACCAGCTGCCCGGGACCCTAGACCCACTGAAAGGCCCCAAACCTGCCCGACCCTGGTAACACCTGGGCTCCCAGGCCAACTTTAAGACTGCAGCTACAACGTGGGGAAAGGGAGAGTTCATGCCCCTTTGGGGGTCACAGGTCCCTACATCCCACAGGAGGCTCGGGCTCAGTGCGGGGTGTGGCAAGCTCCCAGACCCGCCCGGGCGTCCTTACGCACGAGGGCCGCCAGGCTGTCCCGCGAGAAGCTGGTGCTCCAGAGCTGCGCGGCGTCGGTGACACTGTGCGGAAGTTGTCGTCAGTCGCGGCCGCCCGCCGAGCTCCCGCACCTCACCTCCCGGGACCCCACTCACTAGAGGTTGAAGCCGCCGCAGTCTGCGTCCCCACTCTCCTCCCGCTCGCAGTAGCACACGAAGCGGGGTGGGCCCGGGCCAGGCGGCAGCGTGCAGAGCGGAGGCGACAGCGGCGGCGGCACCATGGCCGATCCGCAGACGTCGGCCACACGGGGGCGCTGGGGTCAGGACTACAGGCCCAGGGCGCCTGCGCCGAGGAGCGGCTTGGGAGGCCGACGCGGCCGACGTGGGGCTTAGGGCGCCTGCGCGGGGCGGAGTCTTCAGGGGCGGAGCTTCCAGCCCCGGTGGGAGGGACTCGGCTCCGGGGCTGGGCGGGGCTGGGCGCTAGGCTGGCGGAGTCGGGGCGGGGCTTGGTGCCTGGAGGGTGCCGTCCCCACCTCCGCGTCTCTGGCCGTGCGCTCTGCGGCGGGATCCCGGCCCCAACTCCAGCAGGGGTCTCTTCGGGCCTCTCCCCTGCTCCGCCCATGGTCCCCTAGTCCAGGGTTCCCTCAACAGTGGCGCGCACAGCCCCCGCGCTCCACGCGAGGGCCGCTTCTACATCCCACCCACTTACTCCTCCCTGCGGCCGGTTAGCCCTCGTCGTCCCCCAGGTGTGTCTCACGTGGCTTTAGATGCAAAGCGACGCTTCCTAACCGGGACCAGCCCAGATGCGGAGTAAAACCTGGCAGTCTGGGGGTTATGAGCCAGCGCTCCTGAGCCTTCATGTTGTCCTATCCCTGAGGACACAGTGGACGATGGGCAAGGCCTCTGACCTCCTGGAGCTTGAGAGATCCAGTGGGAGAGACAATCAACATGACACCTTCCGGTAGGGCCAAGCTCTAGGCAGAAGCTGTAGCAGAACCAGAGCCCTGTGGTTGGGAACAGCTGCCTGTTTGAGCTCTGACCTAGGGAAGAGAAAGGGGGATCCCAGGAAGGGCCCTGCTGGACAGGTCTGCTCAAGACTTTGCAAAAGGGCTGGAGTGAGGCATGGTGGCCTTGGGGAGAGCTGTTGGTGGTTTTGTAGGCCGTCAACCTATCTCCAGTGTGCCCTGAGCTAAGCCTGCCTCATCTCCCAGGTTTCCTGGTTTGCTCCCCTCCAGGCCCTCATAGGCTCTGCTGCAGGGCCTTTGCACATGCTGTCATCTGGTCTTGGATGTACTCACCTTTTTCAGGTCTCTCCCCAAATGCGCCCTTCTCAGTGAGCCTGAGAAGAACATTTCAACACCTGTCCAACTCTATCCCCTTTCCTGCTCCATTTTCAGTTTCCCTTGCTTGTGACTACATAGAATACATTCTAGCTTACTCATCATGGTAGCATTCTCTAGGATGGCCCAGACCCTCAGGTGACCCCCCTCCCCTCAAGCTGCACCTAGTGATTTGCTTCTAGTCACTAGAATATGGCAGAAGCAATGGCTGTCACTTTGTGCTCCCTCCTAACCTGCTCACCACAACAAGGTGGCCCAGGGAGACCTCAGATGGCAGAGCCCGCAGCCTGCCTCCACCTGCATGGGAGCCCGGGGGCACCCCTCATCAGCTTCCCTAAGGCTCGCTGCACCCACTTCTGCGAGAGGGGGTGCCTGCAGGGTGACGCAGCAGAGGAGGAAGGGCTGTCCCCCAGAGCCTCCGCAGCGCAGCCAGACCACAGCTGATTTCAGCCCAGGGAGACGAATTTGGCAGCTCTAGCCTCAAAACCTGAGATAATAAAGGCACGTTGGCTGTCCCCAGTCCTAGAGATGGAGCACAGGGTGCTCTCGCACAGAGCTACGTGGCCAGTCCTTCTTATTTTTTAATTCTGATACAGGGTCTTGCCAGGTCACTCAGGCTGGACTTGAACTTGTGACCCTCCTGCCTCAGCTCCCAAGTAGCGTGAGGTGTGCACCACACGCAGCTATAAATGCACGTTTGAAGCCACAAGTTTGTGACAATGTGTCACAGTAGCCATAGGAGATTAATGCAAGGAATAAAAATTAGTTCTAAAACATAAGAAAACCATAAAACCCACATTGGAGTAATTTCAAGAGTGTCTGGGAGCATGGCTTGCCAGCCCGTCTGGGCAGCTTGACCCTTTCCTGGGTAAGCACTTTTATTTCATTGGATATGGGTGCCTGTTACTAGGTGGGAAATGAGGCAGGTGGGCCTCAGGAGCAGAGAAGGGGAGGGTCTTGGGAGGCTCCTCACCACCTGGGCTTGAAGTCAACCTGTGATGGGGGATAGGGAAGATAAAGGGCCCAAGGCAGTGAAGAGAAGCAAGAAGTACAGCGAAAGGGCATCAGGGAGGCAGGAGACAGCTGGGCTTGAGGTTCCAGAAGTCATAGGAAAGTCCAAGAACAATGATGTTGAGCCAGACTTCAGAAGAGGGAAGGAGTGAGCTAAATGGATGGCTAGGGAGGACAAACCCAGTCAGTGCGCAGCCTGTGCAAAGGCCCTGGGGCACGCTCAAGGCTGGCATATTCAAGGGATAAGGCCAGTGGCACCAGAGGGAGGCCTATCAAGGCAGACCTTGTGCTGGCCAGTGTAAGAATTTGACTTTACTCAGTGAGGTGAGACCCACTGGGTGCAGTCCTGAGCAGAGAGGACAAGATCTGACTTATCATGTAAATGAGTTGCTGGGTGCTCTGGTGAAGAACTTGCTGACAGCTGCCCTGCATGGCCAGAGCCAGGTGGTGCAGGATATGACAAGTGTTAGGTGGAACTGCAGGGTTGGGGGATGACCACCTCTGAACCCCTAGTGTCTCCCAGGGGCTGCCTCAACCCAGAAGGAAGGGAAGGGTGTCCCTGAGGCGTGGTAAGGCTGCCTGCACCTCCTCCCCCCAGGCCTCCCGAGGTGATGGCAGGGGTTGGGGGCTAGACTCAAGAGACGAGCCTGTGAGGGGGTCCGTGGGGAAGCCGGCCTCCTGCCTCTCTGCCTTAAGCCCCCACTGTGCCCTGCACTTCCATCCCTTCTCCTGGTCCTGGTCAAAGCTGGGACAGCGGACAGGTTGAGTAACTGGGTGATAGTTGGAGTGTGGTGGGTGACTGCGCCGTGCCAGGGCACAGCAAGCACACGTGTGGCTGGCTCTGACCTTTCCCACACACAAGCACCACTTGGGCAGTCCCCTCACGGCCCAGGTGGGGGCCAGCAGGTACGGGCGTGTCAGAGGGGCTGTCTGGGGTCCATGGATGGGGAGACTCCTTCTCTGTGACCTCGCAGCCCAGAGAGTCCCAGTCAAGAGCACATGTGTGTCCGCGGTGCTGGCCGCGGAGCCCAGGGCGGGCTGGGCGGTGCTCCACCTCCGGCTGTGCTTTCCGACAGGAATCTGCCAACCAGGTGAAAAGCAGAAATCATAGCGGGAGGCGCCCCCGAGGACGTCCCTCAACTGCGGAGCACTGTGTCTGCCCCGCGTCCTCAGAGAGGCTCGTCTAGGGCGAGGCGGTTTTGGCCCAGACACAAGGATCCAGTGTGGCACAGACATAGCTTAGGGCGAGGTCATCACAGGTGAAGGGGAGAGCCTAGAGGGGCGGGCAGGCTGGCCAGGGGGCACACTCTGGCCTCGTGTTGGGTGCGAGTGGAGACTGGGCTCCCGCGGCACGCTGGCTGCACCTCCTTGAGCCCAGGGTCCTGCACAGTGGTCATTGCCCACACCTGCCCTGTGCTAAAACAGGGCAGGCACCTGTGTGCGGGCCTCATGTTCCCCTTCCTGGCCTGGCATCACTGGGGGGAAGTCATGTAGCTGTCAGCTGACCCTTGGATCAGCTTGTGGGCGCCTGTGCCACTGTGGGGACATGATGTATGTCTCTAAGCCTATGGAAGACAGTGTTGGGCCTCTGTCTAGAATGTGGAAGACTGGCACCTCTGGGAGGGGCAACAGCGGGAATGGGGGTGAGCTGGAGGATGGGGAGGGGGGAAAACGGCTCAGAGCGCCTCAGCCTCAGTTGGAGAGGACCCTGCCGGCCCCGCCAGTGTGCAGTGGGTCTGGCAGCTGAGCGAGGGCTGTACCTCGGGTCTGGGTGCATGGGTCCTGCAGGGAGCCCAGACAGCCTTAATGCCTTTGCAGAGCTGAGCCTGGTTAGGAGGAGACCCGAGGAGTCTCCAAAGAGGGGTGGACTCAGGATGAGCAGGGTCCTCTCAGCACAGGTGGGAGACACGGGGGTCTACCTAGGAAGCAGAAGCACCTTCAAGGGAGAACACCGGCCATCAGTCCCATGGGCTCTGGCCCCCAACCCCTGCCACCAGGAGAATATCTGGGGAGCAAGAGAGGCCTTGGGGTTCTGGGCTCCTCTTTTTAAGGTGAGGAGTGTTGAACCACGATGCAGAGACCACCAACTCCAATTTTAAACCGAATTACAGCAAGCTTGCATTGTGCACACAGAGAGCTGGCCAGCGACTTCCCCACCCTGACCTGGGCCAGAGATCAGCGCCCCTTCAGGAACGAAAGGTGTTATATAGCACAAAAAGCCACAAAAGGGGGTGTCTTGGGAACCTACAGCTAACGGGGTTCTGGCAAACGTAATGCAAGGGCAGATGGCAGATTAATGATCTGCATGGCTTGATATTTCAAGGTAGGGAGTAAATTCAGATCCCAACATCAGAATTCATGAGGAGCCGCTGAGGTTTCAGAGAGGGTGTTATCTGGTGGGTGGGGGGGGCAGGCAGGGGTGAGTTCAGAGCACGGCAGGAATTCCAAACAGGTTTAGGAATCTCAGGAATTTACAGTAAAGCAGAAATGAGCTTTTCATGACTTTGTGACAAGATGGCTCCCAGTCTTAAGATGGGATTAGGCAGGGGAGGAGTACGTGGGGAAGGCAGGCGGACGCCCTCTGCACAGCAGTCACAGGGTCCTCCTGCCGGTGTGCTGGTTCTCACAGGTCTCCTAGAGCACCCTGTCTCCCTCTGCTTAACCTCTGCCCCGGGTGGGCTGGTGCTCAGGGTGACCTTAACTAGGGACTTTACAGCACTGTTGACATCTGCAGATCTCGCAGGACTTTCAGAGTGTGGCCTGGAAGAGAGGACTGGCTCAGGAGGAAAGGCCCAGGGCCTTCAGCACAGGTTCTCAGACCACAGCTGGATGTCCCCTGTCCTTTCTTTGTCTCCTGTGTATCTCCCTTTTGATTTCTTCTCTCTACCTCAGCCTGTCCCCTGCCTGTTGCCTCCCCCAGCCAGCAAAGCTGGCTCCCGTGGGTGGAGAGGTCCCCCTGCAGTGCTCAGCTTTGAAGGGTCTAGGGCCCTGGGGTCCCCGGCCTAGGGCCCCGCCATGCTCTGCCTCCCCTACAGTGAATGCACATCGCAGCTGGCTTTCACACACCATTTATTGTGCTTGGGGGGCTGTGGAGAGAAACGGGGCAAGAGCCCTGCGGGAACTCCGGGGCCGGATCCCTCACTGCAAAAAAAGGAGCAGCTGTGGGCCTGGTGTCTTAGGCCCTCTGGGCCCTCCTGGGCCCCGTGCTCCCCACCCAACGCTGTTTGTGTGAGTCGGGGGACTTGACTCGGGAGACCACCCCGGGGGAGGGTCCTGCAGTGAAGCCTGCCCCGCAGGGCGCGGCTCAGCAGCTCCGGGGCTCCGAGGGTTCTGGGCACTCACCTGGGAGAGCGCCCCGGCACACTGGTCTGCGGGAGAGAGGGCTCCGTCACCACCTCCACCTCGAGCCCCTTTCCCTAGGGCCCCGGCCCTCCCAGTCCACCATGTCCTGGCACACTCCCACCTCTTCCTTGGCCCAGAGGGTCCAAAGCTGTCCCTGGACATCCCACATCAGGGATGGGTGGAGAGACCCGCAGGACATGTCCCTGACAGTCCCGGCTTCTGCAGCCCTAAGCTGGGATGGGCCAGCGCTCACCCGACTTGGGTAGCATGGCGCCCTGGCTGGGGTTCAGGCCCACGCGGGGTGCCAGGAGCTGCATCTTCTGGGCACCTTCAGGAAACAGCTCCGGGACGCGGACTGGGGGCAGGGAAGACGGGTGAGCAAAGGGGCTGGGCCAGAGCCCTTCCCAGGAGCCCCTGGGAAACAGGGGTTCCGCCCGCCGCAAGTGGGAGTGTGGTGGAACGTGCACGTGGGCAACTCTGCAGACCAGATGCGGGGCACCGCTCCAAGGGCCAGGCCTGTGACAAGGGGAGGTGTCGGCTGCCCACCGTAGAGCTGCAGCCAGACGTTCCGCACGTCCCCCTTCTGAGTCTCGAAGTACACCACGGCGAAGTTCTTGTAGTCCGTGAAAGGCACGCGGATGTCAGTCTGGGCCATAGCTGAGAGCAGGGGAGAGCTAGTGACTAGGAGCAACACCTAGCTCTGGCGGGAAGCCCCGCCCCCGCATGCCAATCAAACAGAATGCACAGGCCCCCAGGCCCCCACCCTCCGTGCCTGCGGCCCACCTGTGGGGGCCACCGCCGCCTCACCTGGGTTGCTGAACTGCCCATCCACTGCACCCTTGCTGAAGGTCGTGTCTATCTTCTGGCACCCACCGTCCGGCCTGGGGAGGAGCTGTCCATGCCTGAGCCTCGGCCCTGCCGGTGCCCAGGCCCAGGTCCTGCCTTGCCCTCTCTGACGGTCCCAGACCTGCAGGTGTCCTGAGGACGCTGCCCTGGCAGAGCCTAGCAGGGTCCCCTGTTCACCCTCACAACAGCCCTTTCAGGACACAGGTGCTTTATGTCTTACAGGGGAGGACAGTCCTCTGGGGTGGAGGGAGGACAGTCCTCTGGGGTGGAGGGAGGACAGTCCTCTGGGGTGGAGGCAGCAGTGTGGGGCTCAGGGCCTTCAGGTCTCCCCTGTCGGTCGGCACATACACACAGGACACACAGGCACACACACACACACAGGACACACAGGCACACACAGGCACACAGAGAAGCAGTCACTCTGGTATCAACACCCAGGCCTCGGGAGGGTTCGCAGGTGCCTGACTCCCTCTAGGGAGCAGGTGTGCTGGGGCTCCTATTTGGGTCTTGGCAGCTCAGGCCATCAGGAACCTGTGGTCGGGCCCCCTGGAGTATCAGGGATGCCTCTGGTTCCTGCTGGCCTTCACGTGGCCTTACAATGGCCTTTGTCTCAGGTAAATCACCTGAATTGCAGGTGAGGCCGGTGGGGTCACTTACGTGGGGTACCCAAACTTGACATCCAGGTCGCCATTGGCCAAGAGGGTCACTAAAACCATGGGCATCTTCATGTCATCCTTGGAATCCTGGAAGCTCTGGTCATCTGACACAGCCCCGACTATGTACCAGATGCCCTGGAACTGTAGGGCAGAGCAGGAGGGCTGGGAAGTGGCCCCTGTTCTCTGAGTCCAAGCCTACCATGTCCCTCCCTGCTACTCAGTGGTCATGACCTCTGCACATAGGTCAACCCCAGTACTGGGGGACAAGGCCCTGGGCAGTGGCGGTGAGCACAATCCAAACGCTGAGCCAGAGGTCTGCTGTCCTCCCCAGTCTACCCCACTTTCTGGTCTGATGGGCCAGGCATCAGAGAGGGTCTTTCTTTAGGCCCCTGGCCCTGCTGAGCCTGGGTCAGAGAGGATGTGGCATGCAGAAGCAAGTTGGGTAGGGCCATCCATGCAGAGGGAAGAGGAGGCCTGTGGGCACACCTTAACAGCATCGAAGTTGTCCTGGATGGGGACCTGGGCCCAGCCTAGGGACATCCTGAGCAGGACCAGGAGGGAGCTGATCAGCAGAGTCTGCAGCATCTGTCAGATCCTCTGGGGCTATACAGCAGGACAGGGGAGCTGGGGGGGCTTTTGCCCCAGGGGCTTTTTTTTCCCCCCCCCCCCATGCCCTGGGGCAGCTGGCTGGCTGGCCTCTGAGGAAGCCCACTGTGATAAGCGCCCTATCCAGTTGCACCCTGTAGCACCTAGCCCAGCTGCTTCCACTCAACCCCGCCCTCCCAGCCCCGTGTTTCCTGTGGGAAGGGCTGGGTGTGTGGCAGCTGGGGACAGGTAGTCCTGGCAGCCACTGGGCCAAGGGGCTGCCTGACAGACATGCGCTCTGCTTCTCTGCCTTCTAGCCCTCTGGATGTTGGCCCTAGCCTTCTGCTCAGGCACAGCCCAGGTCCCCTCCTGCTCCAGGAGGGCCACCCAGAGGCCTACTTCATGACTGAGCCTCAGGAGGGTCTGTCTGCCTACCAGGGAGCTGGCACATTGTAAACCAGGAGGGCCAGGGACAGGATCCTGGGAAGGACCAGCCTGGTGGGTACCTGAGGGAGAGGGAGGGGTAGGCAGGGGGCTGGCCCCACAGTGTGGCTTTGGTGCCAGGACTCTGGTGAGGGGCAGGGCTGCATGCTCTGGAAGCCCAGGCCAGGGGTGGTGGAACTGTGAGCAGAGGTGTGGGGTGGCCTATCCCCAGCTCACTCTGTCAGCCTTTCCCAGCAAGGGCCATAGATTCTCTAGCACCTTCCAAACAAATGTTCCTTTCTGTGCCTTCCCAAACCTTGCTTAATCTGAGTGCACTAATCCCAAACCTTGAAAAACCCATCTGATCCAAAGCTCCCTGGCCTTTCCTGTTTAGGGGTGATTGGGCGGGGTGGGGGTGGACACCTGTCTAGCTACTAAATGACTGACCCCCACCAGCTCATAAATTGGCAGCTCAAGGGGATACAGATGGAGGAAGTGGGGCTGTGGTGAGGTCACAGCCATGTGCAGGGTAGGGTGCAGCTCCGAGCACTCCTCCTTAGCTGTCCTGACTCAGGAGCAAACACCAGCTTTGGGGACTTTGTACTGATATTTTGTAGGAGGGGACTGGTGAACAAAGTGTCAGAGGACAGATAGGCAAGACTCAGGCTCTCATTTGCTTCCAGAGTTTATTTCTCAGGTCTGGGATAAAGCCCAAGGGTGCAGAGGTGCTTTGGGGAGCCGGGGCCACGGTCTTGAAAGAAGAAGCGGAGCAGGGGAGTCCTGAGGCTGGGTCACCTGGCTGGGAGGACAGGAGCCACTGGTAGTGCAGGAAATATCCTACCCGCCCCACCGGCCCAGAGTGAACTTCTAGTGTGGGCCTCCTACCTAGGGTCCCTCCAGAGCCTGGTCCCTTGGTCTCAGCAAATGCACCAGCAGAGTCCTCGACCTCCCCTATCCAGCCCTCATTCCCTCCACTCCACCTTCTAGCCCCTCCACTCTGGTCTTGGTTCCCGGTGGACCTCCTGCCCTGCCTCCAGGCCTTCCTACCCCCAGGAGCCAGAGATCCCTGCTGTGAGATGGTCCCTGAAGGTGGGGCCCCTCTCCCTTTCTACCTGGGACCTACCCTCCTGGGCCCCTGGGAATCAGCCCTAGTCTGTCGGGGGCAGGTCTTCCTTCTGATGGCTGTAACTGGAGGTCTGGTCTGCTCTGGGAGCTCCTGCCCCCACCCCACGACCCCTGAGGTGGCGGGTGTGTGCTGAATGTGTGAGTGGTACCTGAGTGGCAGTCCCGGGGGAAAGGGCCCGTGGCACCAACTCACTCACCTATTCTTGCTCCTTCAGGCATTTATCTGTCAAGAAATAAGCCCAGGGGGCCATGGTCAGTGCCACAGGCCTGGGCTGTTCTCCTTTCGGGCTTCCTGCCCCTCTCCTCATGGTGAGGAACCTGCCCTAAAGGCCCTGGAGAGCTGGGTCTTGATTGAGACCCCCAAACTGCAGACTTCGTCCCACCCCCAACACTCATGGCACCACCATGAGGAACTGGGGGCCTCTGCGTCCTTGTGGCTGGCAGGCAGAGTGCCTGGTGTCCTTTGGGAGGGGGTTCCTAGTAAAGGGGCCTGCAGGCAGAGGTCATGGGGTGTGGAAAGACCAAGAGCACCCTGTCATCCCAGGGCTGGAGGCAGGTCAGCGGGTGGAAGGGCAGGGCCATCCTGTCCCATCCTATCCCACTCAGGGCATCGCCTACCCTAATCTGACTGTAATCCACTGCCCAGCCGATTAGCCCCCCTCACCATTCTGGGGAAGGAAGGCAATGTCGTTCTCTGTGAAACCATGGGCCTTGCAAAAGTCAGCAAACTTCTCCTTCAGCTCAGCCCTTGGGGTCTGAGTGCGGCCTGGGTGGGTAGAGAAGAGCCAGCCTTGGTGAGGAAGCTCTCTGCCCTGCCCCACCCTGAGTCTTGGGGACCCCTCCCTGGGATCCCCTCTAGGATCAGGTGTCAGTTCTCTGCTGACCCCATGCCAGGCCAGCCTAGGGGTCCCTCATGGGAGCCTGTGGGGTGGGGAACCTACTGTAGAGCGTGGCCATGTGGAAGTCCTGGCCAGGGCCCTTGGTGCCCTGGCTGAACAGCAGTGCGTACTCCTTGTAGTTGGTCTCCACCACTGAGACCGCGTGGGTGCTGCCCCAGTCTGGGAACCCAAGAGAGAAGCCTGGTTGGGGGCACCTGCCACTGCTTGGGGAAAGGGTGTCTTCTATGGGCGGGGTTATGGGTGTGCATGGGAGGGTCTCAGGTCCTGGGCCTGTAGGGGATGCTCCCCTCTGGCTGGCTGCTCCCCAGTCCCTCCCCAGTTCAGCCCCTCCAGCTCGGGGCTTCCCATCTGCCCAGGAACTGTGTTCCCAAACCGAAGTCCTCAGAGTAAGAAACACACAAGATCAGAAAACCATGAGCTCGTGGTCCAGCAGGGAAGGGGAGGTGGAACTGGAGTGCCTGGGGGTGCCCTAGCTGGGCAGAGGAGACCTGGGAAAATTCCACCCAGCAGGGAGGGGCCTGGCACAGCATGAGTGGGCTTGGGAGAGGTTCCAGTCCCTTGAGGGAGGGTCTCTCAGTCCCCCCCACACCCGGCAGGATCATGCCCAGACCTTGATGGAGCTGACCCTGGTGGAGCGGCCATCACCCCAGCAAATGCCTTGGAGGGGATGAGGGGCAGGGTGGAGCCCACTCACGTGGACTCAGGTAGCTGTAGGAGCCAGGGTTCCCTGTGGGCTGCAGCAGCATGGTTCGGGTTTCACACTGGTTTTTCCTGTGGGCAGGTTACTTCCGAGGTCAGGGGTCAGGCCTGAGGATGTCCCCAGACCGCGACAATAGGGTGGGATTCTCTAGGTCCCAGAACCCGCTGTCCCACCTGAGGAAGGTAGAGGTGAGGTTGAGTCCGCCGTCCGCGGTGGGCGTCACCACCGACTTGCACATGGACAGCATCGATTTCTTCTCCCGGAACCAGCTCGAATTGGAGGCGAGGCCCGCGCTGAACCAGCGCCCCAGGAACTGTGGCGAATGAGCGCGACAGGGTCGGCGGGGCGCAAGCGGCGGGCACCCGGACCCCCACCTCCGGCCTCCAGCCCGGCCCCGCCCCCCATGCCGTGACGACCACGCCCCTCCAGAGGGCCCACCCCTCAGGCTTGCCCCGCCCATTCGCCGCCCCCGGGCCCACCAGGCGTCAGCCCTCTCCCGGGGACGTCCCCGGTCGGCCCGATCAGCATCCCAGTGATCTGGAGAGGCGCCGTCTGCCTGGCAGAGCGCGCCCCATTCCTGGAGGGGTCAGGGCGGGGTTCCCCTCGGCTAAACGCGAGGCGTCCGCGAGACGCTGGGGAGGGGCGCGTGGCGGCGCGCTCAGGGACAGGGACTTCATCCGCGCGTCCCCGCCAGCTCCGGCGCACGAGCCTTGGTGGCTGGTTGTGGCCCGAGCGCGTCCCCGCCCGCACTGCGGGGTTCTCTGCCAGTCGGTGTGCCATCGCCGTCTGCGCAGTGCGCAGAGACGCGTCCTGGGACCCAGCGTGGGACGTAAGCCTGTGTGTGCGCTGGGGATGGTGTTTGAACGGCGTGGCGTGGGCGTGGGCGCTACGCGGCCCTCGTGTCTGCGTGTTCAGTCAGTGGAACCGGTGAAATGCCGCTCTCACCGCCAGCCTCCACGGTCAGCCTCCTGGGGCAGCCGCGCAGCCCTCCTTCCCCGCTTGGCCCAGGCTCTGCCCGGTTCTGCCCGGCACTGCAGGACTTAGCGCCCCTTCACCAGGGAGAAACAGCCCTGAAAGTGCCCATTCTCCTAGGGCCTGTACAGTCTTTGGTCAGGGGACCCTCACCTTGTCCTGTTGGAAGTCGGGCTGCACAGAGACCTGGGCCTGGGTCTGCAGGACCCCCAGGACCCCCAGCAGAACCAGCTCCATCCACAACATGCGCAAAGTCGCCATTCTCGTGGAGCAGAGCAGGTGTCCCAGTTGGGTACCAGCAGTGTGGGCAGAAGAGGGTAGGTGGGCAGGAGGAGCAGAGGACACTGAGGAGACCCCTATTTATTGGCCAGGCTTGGCCTCCACCCAGGGCCCAAGGACAGCCCACAAGAGGCTCGTGATTCTGAGGGGTGGGGTGGCTGAGCCCAGCTGCAGCCTTGTCCCCCACAGGGCTGCTTATGCAAGAGGCTCCCACAGAGACCAGCCAGGGCCCTGCTGTGCTAGGGACATAGCTGGCCAAAATCTTGTCTATTCCATTCTTGCTGGCAAGCCCACCCACCCCAGCAGCTAGGATGGGCAGGGAGGCGCTGCCCTACCTCTGGGGCCTCTGGTCACTGCCCACCTGGGGCCAAGACCTTCCTCTCACAAAATCTACCCATCATTCACTCTCCTTGAATGAGAGGCTTGAGACTTAGGGAACCCTAAAGCCTCAGTTGTACATTGAGAATTTGGTTCAGAGAGGCCAGCAGGCCAGGTGGTGACCAGAAGCTCCAGCCAAGGCAAAGAAACTCAATCTAACAGGCAGGGCACTCAAGGCAGGTGTCCTAAGCACAGCAACCCCGTGACCAGATGTGGGGCTTTGATGATGGTCCCCTTAAGTGCCCTTGGGGAAAGAACACAGGAGTAGGCGGAAAGGGGTGGGGCCGCAGGCTGAGAGGGCCATCTGACTGCAGTGGGGGGGGGGGTTGCAGCCTGCCACTGCTTTCTGGCTTTGTGGCCTCTTCCCTGGCTGGGGACCTGCAGGCCCTGGGAATGAGGCCTATGTGTCCTGCCCTTCCTCCCATTGTCTGGGTCCCTGGGGCATAGGATTATTTAGCATCAATAGCTGGGTGAGCAGTGCCACAAGGGTTTCTTGCTTTCTCAGTGATATTGGGACTGTTGGGAGTGGCAGGGCAGAGGCCAAGGTCGGAGGGTGGGGCCAGAGTCAAGAGGCACCCCAGAGTGAGCCCGAGACCCTGCTTCTTGCCCAGCCCTGACCAGAGCAGTCCATCCATGCCCTGGGCCAACAGGGAGAGACTCTGCAAGGACAGGCAGGACTTGGGGCCCTGACTCCGGGACCCTGCACTGCCCCTTGGCTTGGTCCAGCAGCAGATATGGAGAGTGCAGAGTGGACCAGCAGAGTGGCCAAGGACAAGGTGTGGGGGCGGGAGGAGGTGTGTGGAAGGAAGGGCCCCTGGGGGTGTGCCACTGAGTCCTGGCTGCCTCTGGCCTGGGGAGAGCTGTGGTGGTCTTGAAATGCTTCCAGGGGTGGGAGCCTCTTGGAAGAACACCTGGCCCCCTGGCGGTCCTTGGTGGTAGCTCCACCCCAAGGGTGGCCCTGCCTGGTGGGAGGAGGGCTGCCTCTTTCTCCCCCCTCTGGGCCAGCACAGGCATGGCCCTGTCCCACAGGGCTCTGTGTCCCTTCAGGAGAGATTCTGCCCTGCTCCAGGCCAGAGAGCCCTCACTCACTCAGCACCCACTCACGGGGCTGCCCAGGCCAGACCGGCTGCACTGCAAACTTGAGACACAGAGCTACCCCCTGTGGAAAGGGACAGCTAGTAAGAGGGGACAGGACTCTGATGCAAGGCCCAGGACCAGGCAGGGGCCAGGGTTCTGGCGTTACCAGCTCAGCCCATCCCCAAACAGCAGGCAGCCCTGCCCCAGGGGGCCACTCTCCAGAGCCCACCCTGCCCTCTCCTGGCATTGGACCTCGGCCTTTCTTGCTGCCTCCTCTCTGACCCCTCTCCTGGTGACTTACCTCAGGGGCCCACGCTCCCCTGGCTCCTGGGCTGCACCTGTCTCTCACTTGACGCCCCTGTCCCCTGGTGTCCTAGAGCCATCTCCCCATCCTGCCCTGCTGCCCTCTCTCCCCCAAGAGCCAGGTCCCATTCTGCCCGGTGACCAGAGCCCAAAGCCCGAGGTGTAGGTTGTCCGTGGCACTCCTCCAAGTCCCGACCTGCCCCCACCTCTGGTTGCCCAGCTCCTCCCCTTCTCCAGGCCCATACAGCTTCCAGGCTGTGCTGGACACAGCCCGGTCCAGCCCCCCGAGCCCAGCAGGAGACCCGAGCAGGCATATGATGTGCACATGTGGCTGTCCAGCTGCCAAGCAGGACTGTGCACCACCGGGGACTGGGGAGCGGGCACATCTGCCTGGCTGCTCTGCACACCAGTTTCTTTTCTTTTTTTATTTTAATATTTATTTCTTAGTTGGACACGGTACCTTTATTTTGTTTATGTATTTTTACGTGGTGTTGAGGATCGCACCCAGGGCCTCACGCATGCTAGGCCAGTGCTCTACCATTGAGCCCCAGCCCCAATCCTGGACACCAGTTTCTTTGGGTCACAGGGAATGTGTCCTTGAGATATCACTGAGGCCATTCCCCTGCCTCTGGCCCAGGCCTGGGCTCCCAGAACCAGTCCCAGTCTAGTCCTGAAGGGGAGTGGTTTCTTCCTTGGGGTGCGACAGTGTCTGAGGCAGGCAGCGATAGGTCCAGGCCTCTGTCTCAAGGGGTTCGCTCTCAAGGGCCCAGGCTGCTCCAATACCTGGTGAGCCCTGTGTCTGACTGTCCACCGGCCTTGACCTACTCTCTAAGGCCTCCTTGGCCCCACCCACCTGTGCCTGGCAGTTAGTGTCCCCCCCTCTGGCTGTGGGTAGTTGTTGTGGGAAGGGGCTTTGGGGGACACAGGTGGTCAGGGGCAGCCCCTGGACCTTGTGTGTCAGGCCCAGCTAGCCTGCCTTTCAGCCCTGCCCGGAAATGCTCCTCTGGAGCACTGGAAGGAGGGGCAGTGCCTGGTCCACCAAGAAGAAGCTGGATAAATATTCTGGGCTCTGAAAGCCAGGCGGAATGTTGTGCTGGTCAGCAGCGTGAGAGGGATGGGCTGAGTGTGGAGGGGGCAGTGCAGCTCAGGGCCTCCAGGGCCATCTGCGTCAAGGGGACACTCTGACTTAAGGGGGCTGTGCTGGTGGCACCCCAGGCCCTTCTCTCCCAGGCTGGCCTCTGTCATGCCTCGTCTATCAGGTTAGCCTCTGCTGATGCTGGACATGGCCACTCTCCACCTGCCCTCCCAACTGCCTGTGCCCTTCCTCACACAGCCCAGGAGAATGCACCCTCCAGGAGTCCAGCAGGGCAGGAGTTGGGGTAAGATCCACCCTGGAATTTGCGTATCTGTGCATTGCTGGCCAGGTCCTGTGGAGGGGGAGGTTGAGGATGGCCTCCACCTGTCCTGGGGCCAGGGAGCTGGGGGCTGGCTGGTCCCCTCTGGAGAGCAGAGGTCCCGCCCAATTCTGCCTTAAGAAAGGGGCGTGGCAGGGCTGTGGGGAGGGACAGCCAGGCCAGCACAGTCCTGCCCACTCCTGCTCTCCTCCTCTGACCACCGCTGGGACCTCAGCTCAGGGCAGACCTTTGGTGCTTCCAGAAGCTGCCGGCCCAGCCATGGTGGCCAAGCCCCAGTGACTCCATTGCCTGCTGAAGGGTTGGGCAGGGGGGGTCTGGCTGGGCACCCCTCTCCTCCTCACGATGCTGAAAGGCTGGTTTTAGGGGAGGGGCTTGCTCCTCCAGGACTGTGTGTGTGTGTGTGTGTGTGTGTGTGTGTGTGTCCCGGCTCTGATTTGGGCTGGCAGGAGTCTCCAGTGTCTCCTGGCTATGGCCAGGGGGCACTGGGGCAGCTGAGTGTCCTGGGTCTTGGTCCAAGCCTGTCCCTAAGTCAGAGACTCCTGCCTTTCAGTCTGGAGTAGAGGACAGCCCAGTAGTGTCCTCCACTCCTGATCCTAGCCTAGTCAGTGAGGTCCAGGCCTCAGGACCCTCCCTCACTGCATTGTCCCTTTAAGGCTGGACCTGACGCCTTTTCAAACACTCTGGGGAAAAGTGACTCCAGGGAAGTGGGGACGCAGCTCTGTGCAGGGTCATGGAGGGGTCCCTGGCAGAGGGCAGCTGAGCTTAGGCCCTGAGGGGTTGGGGAAGGTGCCTTGGTCATGGGCCCCTCTGGCCACCATCTTGAGCACCCTGGTGGCCCCCCTGGTCACTGTACACTCCCTGCTCCCAAGCTGGGACCAGTTTCTGCCAAATGTCATAGAAGGTGGCCCAAGTTGGAGGACAGGTCAGGCTCTGTTGGCCCTGGAGTTGAGACCAGTCCAGGAGCATGCCCTGTCCAGATGGGAAGGTGGACACTGGAGGGATAAATGAGGACATATCTGAGGGGATGTCCTATATCTCAAGTGAGATAGCGTGGCTCCTCCAGGCTGGGAGTGCCCCAGTGGCATGGCCCACAGCCCTGTCCCACACTGATGGTGGCCAAGGACGTCGGACCCACCCCCCTGTCACCAGTGGGTTTATTTCTGATGGGAGAATGGCAGACAGGGCTGAGCTGCCTTGCAAAGGGCCCAAGCCAGGCTGAGATGGCGGTGAGGGCCCAATCTGCAAGGGACAGAATGGCCCTGAGGGGACATTCACCCCTCAACAGGAGCCGGGGAGGCTGGAGCAGAGTCCAGGGCAGCCAGAGGCCAGGAGGAGTGGGGTGAGCTGACCGGGAACAGGGCAGGAGGACCACTAGGAGCCAGGGAACAGAGGCCCAGGGTAAGATCTCAGTTGCTTCCCCACCTTGGTGGATCCCTGCACAGGGCCCCAGAACCCCCCAAGCCCCAGAAGCCACAGCCGTCACACTCAACGGCTCACACAGGCCTCTGGTCACAATCCCTGTGAGGACAGAATGGTCAGAGAACCCCGGCCTGAGGGCACACTTGCATGACTCCTGACCTCCAAAGCCCCTTGCACCCCCAGGGCTGGCTCAGTAGCTGCAAATGAAGGTGTCCTAGGATGGGGACCTGAGGTTTGGGGGTGGCACATTTTGGGCACAAGTGCATCCTCTCCTCCAGATGCTGGAACAGCCAGTGGAGGCCCAGGCCCCCAGACCCTCCCTGACTGCACTGTCCCCTCTAAGGCTGGACCTAATGTCCCCTCACACAGTGTGCACTGCCCAGGCTCAGG